GTGGGGTTGGTTTTCAGGGCTTCTAGGTACCCTGCTTCAGAGCCTAGCTTGAATTGGAATACTCAGGGCTGCCAGTCTCTCTGCCTTTAAGCCCTGAGATCCCCTGCCTACAGTTTCATGGCATGCAGTTGTGGACCCTAGAATTCCTGGGATCTCTGATTCTGAGGCAGGGCTGCCTTGGAGCCATTATTTTGGAATCCTGCCTCTTGCAGGTGAGCTGGCAGGAAACCAGGCAAGTTTTCAGTAGAACATTGGTTTTCCCCTTTGCTGTTAGTTTCTGTTCTCTGTTCATTTGTCCTTGACTCCCCCCTTCCCCCCCAATCCTTTGTTCACCTCTGATCTCTTGGTATTAATTTGTGAAGAACCAACAGCACCATCCCCACCAACAGTTGAGCTGATTTTTTTTTTGTCATGTAAAACGATAGCTGCTAAACATTCAACTCACACTGGTGTCGAAAAGTAGATAGCAGTATATCTTTTTATATAGGTTGGTATTTAAAATTCTCGGGGGGGGGGAGATAGGAACTGAACCCTAGTGATCTGAAGCCAATTGGAAAACTCAATTGTAGGCCCATTGTGCTGGATTCTGTGTAAATATATAAAGGATGTCTGCTCCAAAGAGTTTGAAGTTGAGATAAAGACAGGATTCTGCTGTGGAGTGAAGAGGAGTGGCAGGGTAAGGGGAAAATAAGGTTACATAGACCTTTTAAGTGGATAATTATAGCACAGATGAAAGAAGTAAAAAAAAATATATGGGCTTTCAATAATCAAGTTTGTGGTGAAAATCTATATATACATTTTTACTGGCAGATATTAAAACACGTCTCCCTTTTCTTCTCCACTCACCTAACCAGATGTTTAAACAGCTTTATTGTCTTTAGTCTAAACTTTCTTTCCTTTCAATATTTCTTCTTTGTAGAAGTGATCTGAATGTCCATTTGAAACAACCATCAGTCTTGTCAGACATGAATGTGATTAATTATGATCTTTGTTTGATTTCCCCTACAATCTTTTGAGCTGGCCTAGGCAGCAGATTAGACTCTGGACCAAGTTGGTACTGACTGACATTTTTAGCATTGAAGAGCTGTTTGATCTAGGTAAAATGAGCTGGTGAAAGATTTCCAGAGAAAGAGAAGAATGAGCCTGTATTTTGCTTCCCTCATTTCTATTTTAGAGCACTGCTGATTTTGGTTACTTTTGATGAGCTATAATATAGAGTTGTTATAAGTAAAAGCTGGCACTAGAGGGATTGATGTATGCCATTTGTACATATTTGGTTTCTTTTGGGTGACTATATCTGAGACCTATGCATAGGAATGAAATACAATCTCCTGACAAGGTTAAACTGACACTCATGCTCTCAAGACAGAAAGAGACTTTTTAAAATTATTTTTGAGAGTGCAAGTAGCTGAAAGTTGGGGGAAAATACCAGTCACATACATCAATCCAAGGGGATTCTTTTCAACAACTTTTGCAAAATACTTTTAGAAAATTGAAAGTTTCAGGAAATCTCTTATACGCTATATTATATAACATCTGTTCTGAAAAGCAGATATTTAACATTGACAGTCATTCTTTTGCAGAAACGAGTCAAATCCAATTGGAACTTTGTGGAAGAACTGCTGAAAAGGTCCACTCATGCTCAAGTAAGTATGGGGAGGAATAAAGAACCATGTTTTGAGATGCATCCAGCACATTAAGTGAAGTATACAACTAACAGGTTTGTCTTTGCAATTTTGATTACGTAGACGTCTTTGATGGAGCTGAATTAAGGCAGTGTACAGTTGGCTTCTTGTTAGTGACTACACTTACTTTAAAGTGGTTGTGCTTGATGTTAAATTGTCAGATAAAGGGAAAAGATAATTATCCTGGAAATGTATGTGGCTACTTTGACAAGATGTATTCAGAATAAGAGCTGGATGCTTAGAAAATGTAAACTACTCTGAATGTGAGGATATCAAGTTGAGGAGACATGATGGGAGAGATAGTCATTGCATTGAAAATTCAGCTATATCCTCATCACAGCAGGAAGGTGACTTGCCTTGCTGAGCAATTTGTCTTACAGGCTTGAATCAAACTCTTCCTGATAAGGTTCTAGTTTCTGAGCACTCATTTCATACCTTATCATTTTTCTTTCTGCAGAGCTGTTAATGCAGTGCTTCATGGCCCAGAGGTCAGAACTGGCCTCCTTTTAAAGAGCTTTTAAATATGCTGTTCATCACATTTTTAAACATGTAGCATTGCAGTTCTGTATAGGTCTTCCTAAGTTGCATGGTACAAACTGTAATTTCTGTAACAACAACAGATGTAAATATAATTGTAAGTATATAAGACATACTAAGCAATAAGAATAAACCTGCTGATTATTCCCTTTTTTTATACCATTTGAGAGGAAAAAAGAGGAAGATGATGTTTCATTTGGACCTTCTCTATGGGTTAAGTTGGACATGAGGAAAAACTTCCTGACTGTCAGCGTGGTTAAGCACTGAAATAAATCGCCAAGTGAGGTTGTGGAATCTCCATCATTGGCAATTTTTAAGAGCTAGTTATACAATCACCTGTCACAGATGATGCTTAGTCCTCTCGTGAGTGCAGGGGAGTGGACCCGATGACCATTTGAGGTTCCTTCCATTCTATGATTCCATCAGAAGGAAAACCATATCTGCCAAGCTAAGTTCCCTCTAGAGCGTGCGCCTGTGTGGGCGCACACAAAGAAATTTAATCCTGCCCACCACTTCAGCAGAGCCACGCAGCAGCACTCCCATGTCCAAGGAAGGTACAGTAAGCTGGTGAGGTGGGCTTGGTGGGTAGAGGGGGAGGGCGTGGTGGCTGCTCCTAGGACCGCGGCTGTGTGGTGGGCAGCCCCGCGGAGGCCCGGCCTCCCCCCAGCCCAGCCGCATGGCAGCCACCACACAACCAGTTCCAGACCTGCGAGGTTGCTGCCTGGCTGCTCCTGGGGTGGGCCGTGTGGTGTGTCTCTGCGGGAGCTGGAGCCTCGTCTGTGATTCGGCTGCTCCTGTGGCTTGAACTGCCACATAAAACTACCTCTGCCCCAAGGAGCTTACAACCCAACACAGACCCAGTGGGGACAGTTTGGCCCCACACAGCTCATGCAAGGGCTGTGCAGGTATCACACAGAAGTTGCTGTTGGGAGGGTTAAGCTCTGAAGGAGAAGGACATGGAGTAGGAAGTCACATAACAGCAGGTCATAGAGGAGAGGCTGTTCTATGCTGCTCCTTCTGCATACAGGTGTTAGGGAGAAGGTTCCAAAGGGTTAGTGACGTGGGCTGAACAGGAGGAGATGTAGGTAGGAGCAGAACTGGGTAGGGCCTTGCAGGGGAGGAGAAGCCTGACTTTGATGCATGTGGCATAGGAATCATGAGGAGTGACATAGGCAGAGGGGAAGACTATTTTAGCAGCAGCACTATGTCTTGGAGGATGGAGGGCAGAACATTTAGTTTTCTACAAATTTCAGTTATGATGACCTATCCCCCCAGTTTTTGAAGGGTCTGAGAGCAGAACCTTGTTCATTTGGTAAAAAATGGCAGATCCTGATTGCTACTGGTATAATAGGGGAAAAGCCAGGACCACAGAGTGCTCATTTGGTACTGCAGGCAGAGGAATCTCTAGCAGCCCTTCTGCTGCCTACAAATATCACAAGCAGCAGGCTAAGGCTAAACAGAAGCTCCGCAGAGCTGGAGCGGTGGCCAGGGTTCCTGGGCAGGGTGGTTGCTGTAGCGGTAGCGGGATGCGGTGTGGCTGGTCCTGAGGCCAGGGCCACCTGCATTCCTGTTCCTCCTTTTCCTCTCACTGCCCTCTGGATCTCAGAGTCTCCTGCCCCTCTCCCCCTGGCTCTTCACATGTTGCTGTCCCACCTTTAGCACCCCACTTCCTACAAACCTCAGCCAGCTCTGTGGGGAACAGCCTGGGGCAGCCGCTGCCCTGCATAGGCTACCCAGGGAGTAGTGCTCCCTGTGAGGGGGAAGCAGGTCTCACCTTTTTCCCATGAGGTGCAAAGGCACTGTCTGGGAGCAAGGCGGGGCAGGCTGGGGTTTCTGCACTGGGAGAGTCTGTCAGGAAGCAGGGCCACTGGTGGGTGCCACAGTGGAATACATTGGAACAAGCGCACATGACCTGAATATTGGTGCACAAGGCAAAATTCACTCTGCTCATGGATGGAAAATCTTAGAGGGAACACTGCTGCGAAGCTATAAAATGGTTTAGGTATATGTTCTGGTCACCGACAATAATCTATGCAGGATTATTTTGTATTTAAGTTATTCATTACTTAATATCAAATGGCTGCTAGCTTTGTGTAGAAAATGAGATTGTTCAAAATTGTGCATGTGGATTCAGTTAAAAAAAAAAAAGAATTTTTTTTTACCAATCGTCTCTGTGACATGTACATCTCCACTATTGCTGTTCCAGGTTTCTTATGGCGGTTTGCTTTTACCTTTTGAGTTGACCTCTTATATTTAAAATGACAGTCATAAGGACTAGATATTGTAAGAGAGGGTAGGAGAGAAGTGCAGCAGGAAGAGCAGATGAAGGGAACAGAAGCAAGTAGAGGAACAAGCAAAATTGGGTTGTAGTGAAAGCCATGGTATGACTGAAGGCTGGATAGTGTTGTTTGTGAAAATGGCAGGATAATTCTATTGACATTAACTGGTCAGGCCTGACGTCAAATGGCTACTTGGTTGGTGTGACACTCGGTGTGGCACTTCACTCTTACCATGAGGAAGCCTGTCTGAATCTGATGTGATTCAGCTTCCTCATTCCATCAGCCATTGGCTGCAGAAGGATTTCCCTCTAAGCCTTACAAGTCCTGCTGTCCTACTGGAATTGGAGGAAGTATCTCCATGATGTTTATCTGTGGGAAGGGCTGGCATTTCTCTTCTCCCCCAGTAAGATATTTCCTGCTTCAGATAGTAAGGCTGGTCCTGGATTGTACTCTTTCATTGCATCTTTTCTCCTCCAGCTCTCTTTTTCTTGATATTGCATGAGTTTGGTCTCTTAGAAATATGCAATGGAATCTTCTTGCAGCAACATTCATAGAACAACTTCACTGTAATCTCTGAATGATCAGAATTGCAAGCTCGGCTTGTCAAAATATTAAAAGCAATTTTGGATTTTATCTCTTTATTTTGGCCCAAATCTTTGCAACAGAGCTAGTAGGACATTGAAACGTTCCATATCAGGGGACCACTGCCATAGTGCCAGCTGGTCTTAATGCACGTGGTTCTTCTGCAGACATACTGCAGGGAGGGACGTGCCTCTTCTTTGGAACAGAAGTAACAAAAGCTGCAAAATGTAATAGTAAGTAACTGACAACGGAAAGAAAAACATGCCCTTGAGAATCTACTGGGTTTCCTGGCAGCTTTTTAATATTAAGAGTTAGGCCACACATCTATTTATTTCACATGATGCTTCCATTGAGTAAGCTATGCATAACTTGGGCATATACAATTGGAGGATACTGCAATGCCTCTCCTATTCTTTGTAGTTCCTGCCCCACTTACCATATTGAGATTTCTCCACCATGCCAAGTATATGGCCCTATAAATCTGGTTTCACTATGTGACTTTACTGTATCTACAGTAAAGCTAAGAATATGCATTGTGCAACATGAACTGTTGTTGTAGTTTAACAGCTAACTGCTGACTTTTAGAGTATTATTATATGACAATGTTTGTTGCATCAACTTCCTTGACATCTCAGACACCTTTAACAATAGAGTCCTACAAACAACTACATACAAGAAATCCATGGATCATCATACCTGCCTTCCTAGATCCAGTAACCAGTCCAAACACACCTAGAAATCTGTTATTTATAGGGAGGCATAGAGGGCTTGTCTACATTTAAAATACTTCAGCAGCACCCTGGGGGGCTTCGCTGTAGGTGTAGGACACTACATATGCATTCTTCTATCAGTGTAGGATGTCCACCCCCAAGAGGCGACAGAATAATTTTTCCATTGACTTAGCATTGTGGACATGGGGACTTTGGTTGGCTTAACTATGATGCTCAGGAAGTGTGCACATTTTTCACAACTAGCCGACTTAGTTAAAATGATCTAATTTTCTAGAGTAGAGTAAGTTTTAGCTACCGTAGACTATACACTGAGGAGAAAGTCCCAGGATGTACACTTTAACACACCAAAAATGCCTTCATCGAACAAGGACATTCAACTAGAGAAGCAGATCGCTTCATGGAATGGACTGCCTATTTATTCTGAAAGAACCTGCTTCAATAGAGAAATAAAATGCCTTTGACCACACAGCCCTAGGGCTTTTCTACATTGTGGGCAGATTGATCTAAATTATGCAGCTTCGGCTACATGAATAGCATAGCTGAAGTTGATGTACTTAGATCTGCTTACTGCAGTGTCTTCGCAACAGCGTATTAACTGGAGACACTATCCTGCCAACTCCCCTTGCACTTCTCATTGAGTTGGAGTACTGGAGTCAATGGGAGAGTGTTCAGCAGTGAATTTATTGCATCCATATCCCCACTGGATCCATTACTGCCTCATCTATCTTGCCCACAGTGTAGACTTGGTCCTAGTTGTCACTTACCAGTGCTCACTTGCACCCATACAGGGACAAAACGTACCCATATTTGGGATCCCCACCCTGAAGAAATCTTTGTCTGATTCTCCTCCTTCTGGCCTTCAAAGAAGAAGCCTTTCCAAGCTTATCGTCAGGAGACCAAGACACACAAACTCAAAGCAGCACCAGACCTTGACAGGTGCCAAATCTGTAGACATGTATCCACTGCAACAATGATCAGCAACATTCAAAGCACACCTTTCAAGATCATGCATGTCACAACATGTGGTGTGTACCGCATCAAAGGCACTGAATGTCCCAATAACAACTGTATGGGTGAAACCAGATAATTGCTATGCTCTTCGATGAACTCTCACAGAAAAATGTTAAGATACAAATACCCTTTCATTTGTGGTTGAGCACTTTTCACAAAACAATTGTCCTCCATCTTAACCTCTCAGTTCTCATTCTCAAAGGAAATCTGCACATCTTTAAAAGATGAGCCTGCGAGCTTAAATTCTTAACTTTATTAGACACTAAAAATCATGGACTGAATAGAGGTGCTGGATTTATGACTTATTAAAACTATCTGGAACTCACCCTTCCTAACGGTCCTGTTTTTTTCCCCCCCTTCCCTTTCCTTCCTTTCCTCTGAAACTCAAGGGGTGTTAACAGGCCACTGCAGCGTGGATGGCCCTTTGAAATAAGTGTTAACTACTATGCTAGGCAATCTGTTCCATACAGAGTCTCTTAGGTATGTTTCCCAGATCTGTGTAAACTTGAAAGCTCCTCTTTTGCTAACAGAAACAGTTCTAATAGATGTTACCTCCCTCACTTTGTGTCCTTCAAATGCCTATGTTTGTCAGATTTTATTTTCTAGTCCATTGCTTGTAATAGTGGATACTCTTACTCAAAAGTATATAACTAGAAATGATATTTATACAAGATTGTCAGCAGTCTGGAAGCCTTGAAGTTATTTAAAATCTAGTTTTTGTTTGTTTGTTTGTTTTTTACTAACAAAAACCTTTTGTTTGTTTTGTAAGGCTGGTGTATTAGAAGAGCAGATACGAATGCATCTTCAGTGCTGTTTGACTCTGTGTAGCTTCTGGGACTTGAATCTACCTACTGTCACCATACTCTGGGATTATTACAGCAAGAATCTGGTTAGTGGATGCATATGTGAAAAACTAGAGAATTACAAGTATGCATTCTTCTATCCGAGAAACAATTTGATGCTCTGAACCAGTGTTTCTCAATCTTTTTTATAAAGTATCCCTTTAAAAAAATATGTACCCTCAGTACCTATAGTTTTCAGATGCACACAATTTTTTTTTCTACTATTGCAACACATTTGTTTAAACAACTTAATCCTAGCCAGATGGGCGATGAAATTTTTTGGTGTAAAAAGTACAAAAATAATAAAGTCCTGTAAAACTTAAAACAAAAATTTAGTTTTCTACAAATTTCAGTTATGATGACCTATCCCCCCAGAATTCTCTCAAGTACCCCTAAGGGTACTCATACCACTGGTTGAGAAACACTGCTCTGAACCACCTGAAATAGCTGTCATGTTTGCAAAAAAGTTCTAATCGGTTTTAGCTCAACATGGGTTGAAATGCCCCACAAATTGCTAAGAGGTAGCAAAAAAAATATTTTTCAATTCTGAATTTCTAGACCTTGCAGGTGTGGCAAGAAAGTTGTGGCAACCATTATCATTTGTGCCCAGGGCTAAGAAGTGAGATTTCCTTAAAAAAAAAAAAAAAGGTCCATGCACTGACAGTGCATTTTATTTTGTGAAGGGTGATCTGAAGATGTTATTTTATTGTGTGAAGGAATTTATGTAGTTATTTCACACTTACCATTCTTTCCTACCTTTTACCTTATTTTTCTTCCAGAACAGTTCCTTCACCATTCCATGGCTTGGTCTGAAGGGTTTAGCAAGTGTTTGCAAAACCCCTTTGTCTATGCTTGAGTTGGTGAAAAGCTGCTGCTCTGACCAGCAGTGCCCTGACCTGTACAAATCCAGTAACAGTTACCTAATTTTTCTCTGCATTTTGGCACGAATGATGAAAGCAGCAACGGAGAACAATGTAACTCATCCTTGGAAACAAATTAAAGGAAGGTATGGCACAAATTAAAGGAAGGTATGGCAATCTTTGAACTTGTCCTGTGCCATATACCAGCACTTCCCTTGCTTTCTTAGCCATCTCACCTTTTCTAAATTTGAAATTTCCTTTTTTTAGTGAGATTTTTGTTATTTAGTGAGTTTTGAAATATAGCAGTAAACATAAAGCAATAATTAGGTTTTGCACAAAAAATATGAAAAATTGTTCCCTGGTAAATGAAAAGTTTTTCTGGTTTACTGTACTTGTGTAATGAACTTGCAGATCTTATGAAACAACCTCAGCGTCTGCTGATTGATGAATGTGCTATAACTTTTCAAATGACTTGCATTTAACATGTAAGCAAGTAGATTTTCACTGCAGACCACAACTAAATTGATTAATACTGGTATTAGATTCAGCAACCTATTAGATTAGGTTCTGGGTGTTTTTACAATAGCATGTGCAAATCTGCTCAATGAGCATTCATCATTCCTACCTTGAATAAATCATTTATTCAAGTAACAAAATTAACAGCCTACAACAGTGTTCCCTGTAAATTGAGCGCTTATTTGGCCACCCAGGAGAGATTCGTGTGCCACCCAGCTGATTTATCAGAGTGCCCATAGTAGCATATATTTTTACTGGTAGTGCAGATCCACACATGCCTCCATGCACATAACATTTAGTCTGCACACGGATGGCAAAACTTGGAACCCTAGCCTATACCTATGATTTGGGGATGAACTCTCTTTTAGCCAACTAATCAAGCATTGAAACACATAAAAGCCTGTCAGTAGTTAAAAGATTTTCTCATGTACAGTAGGTCTCAATAAATCAAAATAGATACCTTAAACTCCACCTGAAAACCTGTGAGCATCCAATGCAGAACCTGGTGCACTAGTAACATGCTAAAACTGAGAGCCTATTTAATATGCAGGTGGCGGGTTGTGGTCGAAAGCATTGTTTCTGTAATTCTGGTTAATCTTTCTGCTGGAAGTGAGACTCTTACATCTGCAGTAGTTAACATGGAGAGAAAGGTTAGGTTTCACTATGGGTTAGAAATCTTTTGGTATGCACCCTGGATTGGGAAAAAGAAGGGACGGAATTAGTTGTTCTAGTAGCAAACAGCATGGAGGAAGAAAAGAAAAATTTTAAAACTAAGGACTGCTTAAAGTAATAGTGGTAGAAATGTAGCCGTGTTAGTCTGGTGCAGCTGAAACAAAAAAACAGGACTGTGTAGCACTTTAAAGACTAACAAGATGGTTTAATAGGTGATGAGCTTTCTTGGGCCAGACCCACTTCCTCAGATCAAATAGTGGAAGAAAATTGTCACAACCATATATACCAAAGGATACAATTAAAAATGTGTTCATTTAATTGTATCCTTTGGTATATATGGTTGTGACAATTTTCTTCCACTATTTGATCTGAGGAAGTGGGTCTGGCCCAAGAAAGCTCATCACCTATTAAACCATCTTGTTAGTCTTTAAAGTGCTACATAGTCCTGTTTTTTATTTACACGTTACTTACCTCAAAGAAAAAAATACAATGAAATGGGCTGGATTTTGGCAGAAAGAAAACTTAGTTTTTAAGGTGAGTGGAAAGACCAATATGAGCCCAGTCATGATCCCATCACAACCCTAACTGACTTCAATATAAGTAGGATTAGATTCAATGTGACTGCTACAAACTTCATTTTTATGTAATTCTGAAGTGTTAGTAAAATGCCAAATATATTTCATCTCAATTCTCTCCTATTGTTTGAAAATACTGTAGAATAAGAAACAAAACCCATATATTTTTATTTAACATTACACAGGATACCTAAAGGCAAAAATATTCACTAGGGAAACCTATGTTATAAACAATGCACAGAAACTTGTGGAAAATGAATACACATTTGTAGAGTTCCACAGTTACTTTGGTAAACTTTTAAATTTTCTTTAAAATTCCCAAGTACAATTGAAAAGGCCAGTTGTTTAGCCCAATATTCAAACCCTTTTGTAACTACCATACTATCTTCCCCACTAAAATCTTAAAACTATATTCCCCCATCAACTCTGGCATTTTAAAATACAGTTTTCCCACTGATCACTCAAACATATATTTTTTCCAAACACATACGAAGATTCCTAAATATTTATTTATGTTTTAGTGCCATGTACCTTCCAAGTAACAGCTTTTGGTCATAGAAAACATTTAATAGTTTAATGGTCAATGCTTATATGTTATGCACTGTAACTAAGTATCTACTGAACATAAAAGTAAAAATATACAAATATTAAAATGTAAAGTTTTGAAATGCTTTTTGTGTAGCACTTTAAAGACTAACAAGATGGTTTAATAGGTGATGAGCTTTCTTGGGCCAGACCCACTTCCTCAGATCAAATAGTGGAAGAAAATTGTCACAACCATATATACCAAAGGATACAATTAAAAATGTGTTCATTTAATTGTATCCTTTGGTATATATGGTTGTGACAATTTTCTTCCACTAGTTGATCTGAGGAAGTGGGTCTGGCCCACGAAAGCTCATCACCTATTAAACCATCTTGTTAGTCTTTAAAGTGCTACACAGTCCTGTTTTTTGTTTCTTCTTAAAGTAAGTGTGTGAAGCTAGAGTAAAGATATTAAATGGGGGCTAATACAGTTTTTCAAGGAGATTGAAAGAAATATTCTTAATTGAAAAACATTTTTTTGTTTTTTTTATATGTAGAATTTATTCCAAGTTCCATCAGAAAAGAATGCGAGAGCTGACAGAGGTGGGGCTGCAGAACTTCTTTAATCTTTTCCTTGTGCTAGCGGTTATTGCAGAAACAGAGGACATTGCAAGTCGGGTGCTGGATCTCCTGGATTTTCTTAGCCCAACTTCCATCAGCATTTCTCAGAGAGCCCTCATTTGGAGAGGCTACTTCGCCTTCCTTCTGATGTATATTGAGAAAAACATGGACATCAGTGTCCTAGCTGAGAAACTGTCGCATGCTTTCTGTGAAAAAGCAAAGGAGTTCTTGGTAACGAAGAATGACCACACACACAAACAAAATCTCTGGACACCACTTTCCACTTATGTTGATGGTGTTCAAGAAGTGTTTGAGACCAGCTGCTACTTGAACCTTTCCCAGGAAAAGTTATTAAATGATGGATTTAGTATGCTGTTCCCAGCTTGTCGAGGAACTGAACTCAGCATGGTCCTAAACTTCCTGCAGGTGGTTCTGTCCAGGCTCAGGTAAGTTAGTCAGATAAATGTTGAACACAGACTGGCATTTTGCTTTGCATTTGTCACTAAATTGTAGTTGCTGAATCAATAAGAGATTATGCATTTTAGATTTGGGATTGGTGAGGAATGAGGATCTCACAGAAGAACTGATTGTAGGGACAACCTTGGTTTGAGAGATTATGAGCTAATTCAGTTTTAACTAAATGGAAGGATAATAAAAAATAGATCTGCAACTAGGGCCTTTGATTTCAAAAGGACTAACTTGAAAAAGTGCAGGGAGTTAGGGAAGTGGACAAGATCAAAGAACTCAAGGATCTGAATACGGGGAATGCTTGGAATTTAAGCCAAAGTTTCAGAAAGTATCTGAAGGCAGCATTCCAAGTAAGGAAACAGAATATTCAGGGAAGGATTACAAACCAACCTTGATGAGCAAGCATCTCAAACAGGTGATTAAAAGAGAGCAGTGTACAAGGAATGGAAGATGTGATAGATCAGCAAGGAAAGCTCACTCTTGAAGCTCAGAAAGTATAAAGATAAAGTGAGACCTGCCAAAAGCCAAGCAGAGTTGACCTTGCAAAGGAAATTTCTACAGGGAAAGGTTCTATAGTTATAAATAAAAAACAGAGCAAGGAAAGAAGAAGTGGGACTACTAGCCAAAGAAGATAGGGAAGAGTTTAAAAATGATCTAGGCAGGCCCAACACCTACACACAAACTCAAACAGCTTAATGGGAAGAAATTGGGAGATCCAGATAATTTCCATCCAAGAGTGTGAAAGGATATGGTGCATGCAATTGCAAGCCCAATGGCAAGGATTTTTAATAAATCTGTAAACTCAGGGATTGTACCCTATGACTGGAGAATTATTAATATAGTTCCTATATTAGGAACTATATTAGGAAGCTGGCAGAAGAAGAGGGACAGTGAAAGGGATCTGGGAAACTACAGGCCTATTAGTTTGACTTCAGTTGTATGCAAGATCTTGGATCACATTTTGAAAGAGAAAGCAGTTAAGCCATAGAGGTGAATGGAAATTGGGTTAAAATGCAGCTTGGTTTTACAACAGGTTGATTGTGAAAGACTAACCTGATCGCCTCCTTTTAAGAAGATAACTGGGTTTTTTTTTTTTTTTAGACAAAGGAAATGCAGTAGATCTATTCTACCTGGATTTCAGTAAGGCATTTGATACAGTTACACCTGGGAAATTATTTGTTCAACTGGAAAAGATGAGGATGATTATGAGAATTGAAAGGTGGACTGTCAGGCTTGGAAGAAGGTTTTTAGTGGAGTTTCCAGAGATCAGTCTTGGGACCAGTCTTATCTAACATTTTTTTTATTGACCTAGAGACAATATGCTAATCAAATTTGGATGACACAGACTTGGGTCATATTGCCAATGTAAATAATAATAAGGGCTTAACAGCAAGAATTTTTGGAAATGACAAGGTTACTGGGTGTAGTGGTTGATAAAAGGATTACTGAGAGCCACCAATCTCATGCAGCTGTGATGCAGTTCTAGGAGGCATCAGGCAAGGAAATGTTAGTACCTTTATACCTTATCTGGAATACTGGTGTGCAATTGCTGTGTTTAGAAAGGATGAATGTTAACTGTTACAGGTGCTGAAAAGGGCTATTAGGCTGATTCAAAGAATGGAAAACTTTGAGAGAAGATTCAAAGAGCTTGGCTTGTTTGGCCTAACCTGCAATTATCCTCACTAATCCATCCCTCCTGGGAGCACTTGGAGATTTCCAAACCCATCAAACAGCAAAAGGAACAGACTGAAAGCCAGAATCTCCCCAGCTGTGGGGAACAATCCTGACCTGGCAGAGGGGAGGTGGAGAATGTGATCTAAGAGGATTGCTCTTTCTAAATATATCTGAGGGATAAATTCCAGGGAGGGAGAGGAATTATTTAAGTTAAGCACCAATGTCAACACAAGAACAAATGGGTATAAATGGGTCATCAATATATTCAGGCTTGAAATTTAGATGAAGATTTCTAACAGAGGAGTGAAGTTCTGGAACAGCTTACCAAGGGGAGCTGTGGTGACATAAAACCAAACTGGCTTTAAGATTGAGTTAGATCGGAGGAGATGTTATGATGAGATTGTCTGTGGTGGCATGTAGTGGATCTGTGACTAACAGCAAATATTTTCCAATGCCAGTTAGGGGGGACTAGTTGGGCAGGGCTCCTGATGTACTACAGAAAATTATTTCCCACATGCCTAACTGATGGATCTTGCTCATGTGTTCAGGGTCTAACTGATGAACATATTTGGCATTCCTCTGGGTCATATGGGTAGAGACCTCTAAGGAGGTTTTGACATTCTCCACAACATTGGTCACTTGCAGGTTTAAACTAGTGTTAATGTTGGATTCTCTGGAACTTGGCATCTTTACATCACAATTTGAGAACTTCAGTAACTCAACCAGATGTTGGTGATGTGTCCTGCAATATGCTGGAGGTCAAACTAGATGATCATGATACTCCCTTCTGACCTTAAATTTGAGTTCATAATGTATTAACTTCCCTCTAAAATAGAACAAAACTGAAGAAGTGCCTGTAGGCTTGTGAATTACATATTACATTTTGAATGTCAATCCACGAATCTCTCTCTTTAGAAAATCTTTCTCTGCTGTTGCAATCCTGAGGTTTGAAATATCCCACATATATCTCTTTTCTAGAATTAATGTCACTGTAAATAGATTATTTATTTATCATTTGCTTGGACATCATTGTGAGTAAAACTGTATTTCTCGGAGTGTTGGCTCTTTTAAAATTATAATCTCTACTAAATTAGTAATAACATTTCTGTCCACTAATTCACTGTTTAAAACCAAAACTTCTTTAGGAGGACTGAAAAATATTTTTCCCCATAATTTTACTTCAAGCCATAATGAGGCAGTTATTGATCTGCCACTACATGAGACCAATGAGGTCAAGATTTGTGGAGGAGGGGCAGTGACATATGCACATTATGAATAATGAGAAAAAAATATTGACCTGCATGTAAGATCTCTGTTTAGCTGGAGTACTTTCTTACTGTCTAGATTAGATAGCTTGCCTGCAGCTGTCAATAGCTTGTAAATCCGAAGTCAACTGCTTTTCAGGCAGCCTTTGGAAAAAAGATAAAGTGCAGTTGATTTATTAGAAATGTTTTCTCATTTTTGTTCAACTGAATGTATATTTTTGAATACATTAGAGACTTGTGTATATGAACCAGAAGAGAGAACCAACTCTGTGAGGAACATGACATTCCCACACCCTCATTTTGCCTTGGCTGATCTAGCAGTGAAGGAGAAATTCTTTCCCAGACCCCAAGAAAGGAGTGGCTAGTGCAGTGCTCCCAGGCGATCCTGACCAAACCTGGTTTTCCTCCATTTCCAAGAGTGTCAGGGTGGGTGCTGTACCACTTGGACAGTGTGAGGGGATGGGGTTCCCTTCCCTGTTTACCCCGTTTGTATGCTCTTTGTCCACTGTCAGGTCACCTGTAGGAATGAGTTCATATCCTGATGCTGACCCACTCGGAAACTGCACCAGTGTCCAGGCTCCTGTATCTCTGAAAGAGGTACACCCCTGCTCCTGGCAAGTCAGACGGCTGCCTGGTTGCTTAAGGTTCAGAGCAGTCATTCTTCATGCGATCTCATGGAAATCATTGGAGTACTTGAAGAATATTGTACTTCTCAACATATGAAAGGGTATCAGTGTCTTGCCCCTTATGTACAATGGGGTTGATGGTTCCTACCTAGCTATTTTACATGGATGTTGTGAGGCATACTTCCTTAGTGTTTGTAAATCATTTTTATATCCTCAAGTAGAAGGTGTGATAGAAGTGTAAAATATTGATGAAGCTTGTCTCTTATGCTAATGGGTGTCCTAAAAATAAATAAGGTAGATTAACACTCTTTTATTCTTAAGAGGGAATAACATTACAAACGAAATGGTAATTACTTAGCCCAGTCTGAAGACTGGACCACTATATTTCTTTGCCTCTGTGTGTGCCATGCAGAGGTTAACCAGATTGATGGTAGTCGTTCCTGGCTGCATCTCTGACTTTGAAAAGAATGAAATGACTCACTGTAGCAATCTCTCCTGTTTTAAAATCCAGGTGGGAATAAGATATCCGACCTTGCATAAATGTAATTTTTCTGTACACTGTACTGTGTAATAGTTTTATAACTGTATGACAGAGAATTTACAGGTAGGAAGGAAGTGAGATCACTGATTAAAGAGAGAAGCGGCTCCCTCTAGGCTGTTAGGAAATAATAACTTCATATGCCACTTTCTCCTAACCCAAGATGATGGCTCACAGGAGCATTCTTTATTGCTGATTAAGTAGCATTATGAAAATAGTGACTTGGTTATGTTAACTAAATGCCTCACTATTTAAAGCTTAGAATGTCAAATAGTTTTAGAAATCCCTTTAACTTATCTCGTTGCATTTCTGGAATCACATTTCTGCTTTCCCACCCAGTTTTATTTGAAGTTATTGTAAAAATGGCAATCTTTCATTTGCAGAGTAGGGTGAAGCCAAAAGCTGTGCTTTAATTATAGCCATTCATGTGCTGTGGCTAAGGGTCTGTCAGCATTTCCATTATAAACCTTTATTGTCAAGGGTTTGTAACATAGCTATGAAAATTTGCTCTAGACATACAAGGTCCTGTAACAGTACTCATTTTCTCTCCACTCCCCTTTTTTCTTAAATAGGCACTGGAAAGCAGATACAGTAAACTTCCGATAATCCTGCACCTTTAGGACCCAGGGGGTTCCAGATTATCAGATATGCCAGACTATCAGAAGCGGGGGCTATGAGGGGTCTGGAGTGGGGTGGGAGGGGATGCCACCTCAGACCTCTCATAGCCCCCTTATGATAGTCCCGCTCTGCCCCAGGCATCCCTGATTCAGCCACTGCTGGTCAGTTTCAGCAGCAGCCGAATCAGGACGCCTGGGGTTCTTAAGTTGAATCTGTATGTAAGTTGGAACTGGCGTCCAGATTCAGCCTGTTGAAAC